CATAATAATTGCATTTTGGAAGTATTTTTAAAACCCAAACAGATGACAAGATTTCATTATGCATGTTTACTGTGAGAAACAGACTAAATCCTTTAACCCAAAAAGGAAGATAATCTGTTTACTGGAATTAAGTGTGAAGTGCAGACAAAATACGACATTTTTATTGCATAAATGCATGAATGTGGATTTTACAGTGTGCAGCAGAGGTGGCACAGGCACTTAAACAGCTATACAGTCAGATTTTCCCAATTTTTAATGGTATATTGTATTTACATCGAGGAGGCCGGTGTACACATTCAGAGTACAAGGAATACTTTAATGTGAAGGTCAGCGAGGGGAAAAAGGACCATGTTTGAAAACCCTATTCCCACAGTCGTTCATGTTGTATTGCAGATCTCCAGCTTCAGGAGTCTGTGCCGGATTTTTAATTCTGCTCATTTCTGTCAAAAATAAAGACTTCTCTAATTTAGAGAAATGTATTCAAATAGATGTTAGAAAAGCTTTGCATTATTGTAATAGAATGTCAGAATTACAGTTACCAATTAGATTAAGCATGCAAATAAATAAATGAATAAATAAATATTAATGGCGTGTGAAACAGAGAACTGTTTTTTAAGTTGCCACAAGAGGCCATTTACCAACATCTTGCTTTGAACCGCTTCATCAACTTATGTGTAAGCCTTGAAAGAAGCATCTAATTAAGTTTTAGTAGACAGGGAATCTGGACTATTGTGGTGTAATTTGTGGTTTTCCTCAATCTGTTCTGAAATGTTTGGTAACAAACCAAAAACTAATGTGGGTTTATCCAGGCACATTTCCTCATACATACAAACAAACAACATAGGACACAAAGGCACTTAAAGAGAAATGCAATGAACTAAATAATCAAAAGTTCTTCTGATTGGGATGTTGCTTACCCCACTCCAATTCATTTAACCAGTAAGTGGCCCTCACCAGTCCGTCTCTGATCTCTGAATAATGCAAATCAGCGTGGCTGGCTGAGCAGTCGAAGCAGAGAGCCAGCGAAGCACCTGGCCTTACACGGCTATCTGATTAGACGAGGTTACAGGCCAGGATGAACCAGACCAGGCCAGGCAGTGGCAGATCTGGAGCAAAATGAACTAAACCAGGCTAATTCTATTGCACCATGGCCTCCCTTAGAGGCTCGGAGCAGCAGGTTCAAATCAAAGCCATACGATAGTGCAGACCACCTTATCAATCACGAGTGAGGACTGCAGCGGAGAAACCATAGGTTCACTCTTTCAGAACAACTGATTGGTGTTTTCTGAAGCATGCATTTAATGATTGAACTGTTATTATCTGCCCCAAGCCAGCCCCCAAAATTGGCTTGCTTCTCTGACATAATTTGTCTCAAAAGTGTTAAGATTGACAGTGCAGATTAGCATTAGTGACGATTTGTTAAAAGTAGAACCTATTCAATGGTTCTGAATAGGTTCTACTTTTATGTTCTAAAGAATATTGGCAAATGGCAAAACACACACAGGATGAACCGTTTATACAGATTGAATAATGTATAGAAATATCAAAAAAGAAGATTGGTCGTTCATGCAACACACTGCATCTAACTGGTGCATGACACATTTTTATGCATTGTTAGTCTTTCAAGGTTGATATATTTTGATACCGATGTTCTTGGAACCTACAACGGAATGGAGGTTGTTAGGCAGTGTAACCTACAAGTTGGATGGAAAAATCAAATCAGAGGATAAGTTCAAGGCCTTTACAACTGGGAAATAAAAGCATACATATTGCACACGTCAGGGAGTTACTGCAAAACACTATAAGTCTTTATGTATTGTACACTAGGTATTGAAAGTAAGGGATACTATTAGGCAATCCAATTGGCACAGAGGCCCCTGAAAGCCGCAGCCTGTTATGTGTACAGCGAGTGTTTTTTATTACGGTGTTATTCCTGAACGACTGTCAGGCTGCTTCATGACAGGGTTGGTTCCATTAGCCTGTTTTCATTCAGTTTGGGGAAATTTGTTTAGCCATTTGTGGCAGAGTGTACTCACAGTGCAGTGTAAGTGCAACACAGGAGAGTGTAGGTCTTAGTAATGCAAGAGTTGTCTGAGCATTCATGGCTAAAGTTTTATTGTTGCATTGGTGTCATTTTGTATGTAACCTTCACTGATTTATTAAGTGCAGCAGAAAATATCAATGAATGTTATATTATATAAAGTTAATTTATTTTTTGTATTTGTTTCGTGTCTTTTTCATGTTCCTTTTTTACTTTAAAGGTTTATAAGGAAGTAGATCATAACCATGAAATCCCACCTCTGAATAGTATTGAATCTTGTTGTAGTTGGATGCCATTTTAAAAATACATTTACATACGTCTAAGCTTACAGGAGTCTAAAACAACGGCTAGACTGTTGTGTTTGGAAGTAAAAAGCTGACAGCGGTGTGCGTGTTTACACCTGTCTCTAATTAGTGAAACATGCGTTTGAACGCGGGAATCTCCCACTCTGCCTCAGTCATTCACTCATTCCCTGCTGTCACATTGGTCTTGTCTCGTTTGCGCCTTTAGCTTATCCCACTGCTCGTGCTGTTATGTGGCGATACCTTATATTGCACAACAGCTAAGTGGCCGTGCATGAGCAGTGTCGTTGTGAATGCAGGCCCTTCTGGTTGCACTGGCACTGTAAACTTCTCATGTAAGAGCATTTTTAACATGCAGCTTTTCCACCACTGTTAGCTGATGGATGTGCACCCTGAGCTCATGGAGTTACTGCAGCAGTCATATTTTGGGATAAAAGAAGGGATTTTCATGAATGGCATTTCAGACACAGCGGCATTTTGATGATTATTAGTTTGTTATCGAGGTAACTTGAGGACTAACTCCCAGGGCGATATGAAAGTGATACAACTGCTGACAATGGCTTTGATTGGCCATCGAGTGGCTAAACAAATTATGAAATAAAAGAGTTAAAAATACACACCTGTATAAAGAACATTTAAATCATACAGCTCCCTGTGTTTCTCTCTCAGCTCAACATGCAGAGACAGGTGTTAAAAGATGTTGATGGATTACTTCTGAGAGGCAGTCGTTTGTCTTCATGGATCCTTTTCTTTCGAAGGATTGGTGTCAAAATACTGGCTTCTAATGGATGACTTGTTCAGACAGGACCACAGGTGTGTCTTTGACTCGGGTTTCTGTCTATAGGTGTTTGAACTCCCTCTTCTAAATCTGGCCAACTCAACGTTATATAACAGGTCTATGAACATAGTTTTTTTTTAAAGCTATAGCCTTATTACATTTCTTATTATATATTTTTTACATTTTGCATGACTGGAATTCAATACTTTTCTCATCTCCCTGTTTGAATTTGGCTATTTCTGTGGATCAGGTAATCTTTTATCACTTTATATATCCAGTTTAGCAACAAACATGGATCCATCATTTCAAATGTATCCGTAAACGTTTTTTTTGGTAATTAATTATAACAGAGCAGTGAAGGTGTGAAAATGTATAAGCTCCTGTTTGCACATGTTACATTAATTACATACCTGGTATTTTTTTGTTAGTTCATTAGTTAAATGACATCTCAAAATTCAGCAATGGGAAGAAGCATTCAAATAATTGAAAGTAGATCAAAGTTGAGTATAAGTAATGTTTTGCAAAAAAAGGAGGGTGGCTATAGTCAGTGATATACCATTGTATTTGATCATTATGAATATGTAAGAGGTACTCGTATTACACTGTTGTTGTTGTTGTTGTTGAGCTTGTTATCTACCTCAGAAATCAATGTGCAACAGCATATTGTTGTTCATAAGCATTTTAAATATGCATGTATAAACTTTTATTTCGAATGTCACAAACGTGAGTTCAGTGACTACAGTCCAAATACTACTGAATCGTATTTAAGTACAGTTCTTGAGTATTTGTACTAATTTAAGTCCCACCCCGACCAAGATCTCACAGCCAGATTCAATGATTACATTGAATTTGTTTTGGTCAATGGCAGATAAATACATGGATCCAGCTGTCAAACATATTTTATATCAACAGAATAAAACACCCTCCCCGTATGCGACCGGGTACAGGCCAGAATGTGTTCCGCTAGATGAGTAATTTTTATAAATTCATTTTTCATAACTTTTCTTACTTACAGCCATATTACGCTGCTACAAGTGGGCTTCACGGCCGCGGAGCTGTGAAATCGGACTTTCTCTGTGTCCCTGAAGGCGCCGGCTCCTCGGGCTGTTTTTGTACCCTCCCCTGCTGCTGCTGCCGCTGCCCGCTGGCCGGGCTGGGCTGCTGGGCTCGGGATGACGCCACCTCTCGCTCCGCCCCGGCGCAAACTCGCTCTTTGACGTTCATTTCATTCCTCTTCTCATTCCGAGCATTCTTCGCATCTCTGTCAGTGCGCGATTCTCCTACACCTTCCTGGCTGGCCCAGAAACACCAGAATAACTTGACATAGTATTAAAAAAAGAAAAAATACCCCGTAACATCCCATTACTCAAAAAAAAGAGGGGCATTTTATATGAGGTAACAATAACGAGGTAAGTTTCAATGGTAGTTGCAGGTATCCAAAAACTGGTTGTAGACTTCTGTTCGTGAGGTTTTAGTTGACGTCTTTGGAAATATTAGAGTATTTATGAAAGAAATGTCGGCTTATTGAGGTGTTTACTATTTACCCCATGGCGTGAAGTAGCGTTAGGTCGTCCCGGTTTCCATCGCTGAGATAGATGGCCGATTCTGGTCGCTGACTTTGACGCTCACTGTCGGAGCCTTACACAGCGGCGAAAATCTTTGACATTTTTCACATTTTTTAGAAAAAGAAGCCCGATCACACGCCCCTATAAAAGGCACCGCGGGCTGTTTTGTCCTGTCAGATCAGCAGAAAGTCCCAGCGGGAATCTGGACGAACTATACGAAAAATATACATATACGAATAAGGATTTTTTTTAGGACAAGATGACGGTTGAAAGCGTCGCTGTCTTCCTCCCCGTAGTTGGCTCGGTCGGGAGTTGTTGGAGATCGACGGCGGAGGCTTTTCGGACCAGCGCGAAGGAGAAAACGCGGCGGAGAGACTTGTTGCTTCAACGCGTTTTTCACGGGAATTTTTTTTTTTCAGCCATCGAAGTTTTTCTGTAAGTACATGTATTTTTTCTTCAACGCTTGTTTGTTTCTGCTCTCGTCCGTGTGCGTGTGTGTGCGTGTGTGTGTGTGCGTGTGCTCCATGTTGTCACTGTTACTCTAAACGAAACCGAGGGGCCGATGGGACTCGGTGCCCCGTTAAAAGCCCTTGTGTTGGCTGGTAGATTGAAGCTCCCGAGGATTTGTGCAAAGTAAATATCTTTTTTTTATTTTATTTTTTTTTACAAATAAGCATTTTTGCATCGTTTTTGTTGGTTTAACATGATCTTAAAATGTCCAGTTTGAGCTAAACTACTTGGTTATCATTGGAAAGGCAGAGTGGTTAATGCGTATGGCGTTTAATGGGGGTTTCCTTCATTGTTTTCCCTCTCCTTCCTCTACTTTGGGAAATGCCTGCTCAGCTGAAACCGAACTACACCGGTTTGCCAGCCGTGCATGTGTGTGTATGTGTGTCACAAAGTTTTACTCCTTACCGTGATTTTTACCCCCAAACTTTCTGTGGACTCCGGGGAAAATGACACGGGTTCTTATGATGAGAACGAGGCCAGAAGCTGTCATCAGCAGCAGTAAAGTGGCCTTAAAAAGTGGGTGTTCACCCATTTGCACCAAACACTGAAGGATCTGCTGAACTTCTTTGAATCCCTGACACCTAACTGGATATTTGTTGCTGTAATGTTCAAATGCTTCTGCTTTGAATCAGGTTTTTAGGTCACGGTTTAAGCAGCTCATTTATGCTGCTTTGATTTATACTTATTCAAGCAGTTATGAAATAATCTAATTTGTTCTCCTGTGAGCTTTTCCATTTGTTCCATTTATTATCTCAGTCAGCTGTCTAGTCACACACATGTTATTATATCATGGCTTCAGGTGCGTTTAATCACGAGCTTCTGGAAAACAACTTTTCTCTCCAAAAAAGATTGAGAAAGTGAGTATTTTGTATTACAGTGAGCTCAGCTGAACAACTGTGAAATGGAAAAGGAGACCTTTCAGTCCGTAGCTCTGCCGCTAGGTTTTGGCTTGCAAGTTACCTGCTTTTAAAGATTTAATATAACTTACGATATAGTTTACTCAATTAATGTGAATATCCATTACTATTTCCAGGATACAGTGTGAATGCAGTCAGGCGTAACACCAGACATGTTGCAATGTAAATTTTTTGGGTTGGAAGAAAAGAATTAGGGGTAGAAACAGATTCTTTGTTTTCAGCTTATGCAACCAGCGGACTTGTTGGACGCAAGCCTGCATAACGTTTGTGCAATAATAGGACGTAGTCTTTGTTTGACCGAATGAGACTTTACCTCTGCTACTTAGACCTACTAAACTCGTTGGACCTCATTACCAGAGGTGCCGCCAACGGGGGACCACAGCCATCGTGATACAATCACACCCTGCATATGCTTTATATGGGAGGCGTCAGTGTGAATGAGCTTCATCCCAGTTAATGTTTTGTTACAATAAGTGAACGTCCGGCGATTTAATTAGCATTTTTGACTAAAAAGACATGACGCCAACCCAACAAAAGGGCCAAAAACTGCAGTTCATCATCTGCACTTGTGGGCGACTCTAAAAAAAACAAAAACAACGACCACCGTCATAGACTCTCAGGTCAAAGTGTCCAACTTTACAAGAGAAATCAACATGTTAATTATTGGAGTGTGGATGTTGTCTCCGGGTTAGCTTGCTAGCAAGCTGCTAGCTGTCTCCTCTGCCAACGCGATTTCCAAAACCTGTTCGTAAAAATGTATACAAAAATCTTGAACATACAAATTCGTAACAATACATACGAACTGGCGGGGGTTAACCACGCCCCTTGAGTGAACAACATGGCGGACCATGTCGGATTCTTGAGTGAACTCTCCGCCATGTTGGATTTTTTGAGGGGGTCAGGGTTAGTATTCTATTCTTACAATTTAACATTGATTTCTCGTTAAAAATGCAATCATAACACGTTTATTTTACACCGTTAGACATCACAAAGTGTGTTTACGGGGTGCAGGTCCCCATTCACTTTGAATAGGGTGACGTCATCAGTTGCAGTCCGTATTTATTTCGTATGTATCACTACGAATTTGTATGTTCAAGATTTTTGTAAACATTTTTACGAACAGGTTTTGGAGATCAGGCTGCCTCTGCTCGCTCGCCTGGGACGACGACCCAGCTCTTTGACCCTTTTTGGATTGGCCGAGAGTTCGGCTGTATCGTCGCTGCCCTTTTCCGAGATGGTGAAGGTGGGAACAACCCACAAACAGCAAATGCAGAGACTAACCCCACGGATACGTGCCGCGTTGAAACAAGATTGCTAAGGCAACTGTGCCGACACCACGCAATTCCTTAAAGTAGCTGATGTTGAAGTTCAAAGCAATATATTGCATCAAACTATTTTTCAAGTAAAGATATTTAGGTGTGATGGCGCCTTGAGCAGGAAATAAAGTCCCGTTCCCTTTTGTTTCAGCTGTAATGCCAGTGCGTCTGAGCTTTGTTCTCCTAGCTGTTACAGCCGCGCGCTCATAATATCCCCCTGAGCCACGGGGTGGTCGCGCGGAGGTGTAACGCCCACCATTCAGTTCCTCTTCAAGTAAACACTTGTTGGCTCTGTCAGCGCTGTTGCCGTCGGTTACCCTGTTAGCGGCGTTAGCGCTGTTAGCTCTAGCAGACGGCTCAGCTGCCATGTTGAACAGAATACGGCACATTCGGCGTTTGTAGCGGTCATTGTGATAAACTTTTAAATAATTTTATTTTTATTAGTTATGTGCAAAACGTCCATTTTATAAGCTTGCAGAGTTATTTTAATTTTTTGTATTATATTGTATTTTTCTTAATTGGGTAGACAGGCGTGTCTGCATTGTTGATGGCAGAGGACAGAGCTACAGAGTGTAGTCTCTTTATCTCTTGTCATGTTGACAGAATAATGTGCTTTTTTAATGTGCTTTTGTGAAGCATAGAAAGGACTATGTTACTTCTCGGGGACAAGCGAGACTCTTCTTTTCTTTGTTTGTCCATAATCTTTGAAAAAAACCTTTTTTGTCAAAACATTAGTTAAATGTCTGTTCAGTTTATGCTTCAAAAAACATTGGAAATATGAATTATTTTTATCTGTCATGTGAGCCCGACATTAGACTCACAACTGTCTCCTCACCAAATATATTTTCTAAATATAAGTGTGTAATGCTTCCTTGCAGGTCCTTGCATAAAGTAATGATGAGGTTTACTTATAATCTGTTTAGTGTGAAGAGCTTATGTCCGTTTGAAACATAAAATACAAATGTCAAAATCTTCGAGTGACACCCCAGAAAGAATTTAATCCGTCCTCTTACCCGCTAGGATTATTGTCATTATTTGAAACTTTAGAATAACCACAACTATTTTTTTAAATTATAGCACATTAAGAGATACAGTCTGTGGTTGAAAGTCTTAACTGCCAGCTGGATAGAAGCACCTGCATCGTCCGTGCTGGGCAACAGGTGCTGGAGAGCTGTGATGCATTTAGTTCCTCGGGATGGTACCACACGTTCAAAAATTGCAATTGGATTCACACTGTAATATAAGCATGTTTTTTTTTCTGCACTCGAATGCAAGAACCTTTGAGCAGTGACTTGTGTTAACTAGTTTGTGTGCTCGGATTAGGCGACATCTTTATGGCTTGGTTTTTTGTATGTTAGCTACACTTTTGTTAATTTGAAATTATATATATTTGTTATAGTCAAAAATTCTTTCTGGATAATCCATAGCATGCATGCATGAACAGTATATTGATGTTGTAAATAAAAGCTTCACCTGCCAGAGAATACAGACGTACCTTCAAGGCATGTTTTCTATTAGTAGTAATAGGCCTGTGAAATTCCTCATGGGAATGTGAACACATCGCCTCCTACGTTTTTAATTGAAATGATAAATCACATTATTGTTTTGCTATTTTTTTTCTTCTGAAAAGTCCATGCTAGAAAAAATATCTGATCTGTAATTACATCTGGACATAGACATTCATTTTCTAATATAGATGTGAAGTGTCACAGTGGAAGAATCACATCAAAACAACAGTTTTCTCTGCGGTCAAAGCCTGCTATGAAAAAAACCCTTCCTGCAGGCTTTCTGTCTGTCTGTGTGTGCCCCGAGGTAAACCCTGGTCTAGAAAGGGAATTTTAGAGTATGTGCTGCTGCTCAGCAGTTTGGGCCCACTGAGGCCGGCGGAGAGTGCCACCAAAAAAGGAAAATCTGGCTCAAAGCCACTGACGTCATCTAAGTAAATCTGCTTCAGCACTGCGGCCGTAAAATGACTGCCAGCTACCGAATGCACTTTGGCCCTTTCAACCACCTTAGTAAGTGAAACAGTTTTTTTACCCCCCCCCTGCTTGTGCATTCTTATGGAATAGAGGCTGTGTTTCAGTCTACACTTATGTTGGCTTAAGTTGTATCAAGACTTTGCCTATTTGGAACAAGTCATGTTTGGACCTTTTTTCTAGTTTTGCTTAAAGCACCAAGTGACTGAGCTTCACAGACCCTTTGAAGTCTCACCACTTTAATATTACAGACTTGTATCATATGGCAGTCTCTCTCATTTTTGGAAAAAGAAGCTTGGACAGCTCCATGTATCAACCACTTGTAATAATGTGTAGTTCCGTTATTAAGTCGGTGGGACAAGCATTCTTTCTTACTATACGGAATAAAAAGACAAATTAACGAGCTGCCCCGTGATCACACGCGGATGAAAAGCAATAAGTATCCCATGAATCATTAGATGAGTCGGTTTCTGAAACCACTATAAACATTTTGAGTTCTTAACCACAATGAAAGCAGGAAATCTCTGCTTCAACAACTTCCTCTCTCAGAGCTGTGCCATAGTGCCGGTAGTGGTGTTCAGCTTTCCACCGGTGGAACAAAGGCACACAGTCACTTCATTTAGTGAAACGGTATGATCTGTGGCTTGTATTCAAATGTGGCTTATTCCGCGTCTCTGGCACAGTATTCCCCAGTCACTGCTTGTAATAAATTTCCA